TTGTACGATACCACGAACATAATATTTATCGTACATTTCATCTGCAATACTCACTAAACCTTTTTTTCTTTTGAAAAAACAATTGATTACTGAATTTTAGTTTTTCTTAATTGATTGAATCAGTGAACTTTTTTTACTTTTTCATAGCCACCTTACGTCACACGACGCTTGTCACAGACCCACAGTCCATTATAGTTACATTTTCTTGAAATTGTCTATATCCTTTGTTGGAAAAATATGGTGCAAAAATTTATACTCGGACAGTACTAAAATGTGCATGCAATTATTTTGCAAAATGAAATTGGACAGAATTTTGATTTCTAAAAATGTAGGCAAAATAAGAATTTATAAAGAGATGAAATGAAGCGAGGTATGTTAAATGCAAATCGTCTTAAGACATATTTGATTCATGTACTGGTGCTAATAAGAAGGATCAAACGGACGTTTGTCTACTAAGATACAACGCTTCTTCCAAAACTAATACGATACAATATTAATTTTGTTCGACGAACTAAAGATTAACCATACTCTTGTAAATCGAATGATATTATATACTAAATCTATGAACACGAAAACTTGAAAGTAATTTGAAAATTACCATGACGGAATTGGGAGGGAGAGGAAGAATTTAGAAATCAATTATTTTGAAATTTATTTGGATGGAAGAAAATGAAATCAAGAGGGTTTAATTCATTTTAATGTGTCCATTCGAAATGATTTCATCTTTTGGTACAAATTCATTTGGATCATTAAATCACACCACGATCTCATGGTCTAATTCGCAACATATACAAAAGGTTTATAACTTTTCATTATGCACCTCATTTACTTGAATGGTCACACACAATCAGAAAAATCATGACTCTTCAATATGCACCTGTTGCATTTGAAAAGTTGCGCATAATTATCGCACAAAATAGAACTTATTCCAATTTACACGTATTAAGATAATTAAATCACATCTATTAAACAATTAATTTCAAACATCCTTGTGTCTGCAAAAGAAAATTTTGCACTAAGGAAGACTTGTCTCTTGTTCTCTTTTCTTTGTTTTCTTCCGCATCACATTTCTCAGATGGTTCAGGAAGATTTAGGGACTGTTCTCTTCGTATTTCAGTTTTGTGTTTTTAGTTTTGAATTCATTTTAAATTTTGTGTTTTGAGTGTCCATTTTGAGATTGTTGAAAATGTGTTCTTTTTGGCATTTTGAAAAATTATTTTGAACACTCCAAATGTGCTTTGAAAATTTTGACTTGATTATAATTTTTAACTTGTTTTCAAAAACGCGTT